GTACATTTGGATTCCTGAACCAGACAACAGCTGACACAGAGAAGTGATAAGAATGCACTGATAGAAACAACCTGGACAAATTTAAATTATTATGGAGTCATGCTGTAACTTAGATACATGACATCAGGATTGACATGGGAGATACAGGTTACTGACACACAGCACAGCAACTTAGGTTGAAGTAAAAGAATCAATGCCTACTACCTTTAGAATCCATCACTAACAATTTGTCACAGATATTCCACTGGTATAAGCAAGCGATCTGGGCTTCAGGCTCTGCTGTTCATTTAGCAATTATATCAATTCGTCCCCTAAGTATTCAATTGCTGGGAACTGCCAGTCCTATTTGGCATTACTCCTTCAGACCCTCCTCAGCTGAGACAAATTGTCAGACCTCTCCTTAGTAAAATTGTGTTCCAGCAGTTCATATCAGCTGAGAATCTGTCCTATTCCTCCACAACAGGCTTCTACTCTCTAAGGTCCCGAGGAAAATGCCTCTAAACAAAAATAAAAATTCTGTCAAGACAGCAGTGGTTCCTACATGCTTTTTGCCTTCAGCAGTACACGTAATGGGATAATTAAATGCATGTTAACTGGCTTCTTATGTAGAAGAGTATATATCCAAATGAAAAAGACAGACTAACTGCTCCTTCTGTACAACCTTCACTCAGCAAGGTATTGAGTATCATAAATAGATACAATTTGTACTTACCTGCATCTTACCAATTTCTTTAAATGTATTCTTCAAGAGCTGCTCTTCATTCAACCCATAATAATTCCCCTTTTACATGGCATCAATGCATCTCTACAGGCTGAAAAGTCTTGGTGAGACTTCCCATTAGAGAAAGTATTTAACAGTCAGATCTTCTGAGATCCCAAATTAGTCACGCCAAGAAACAATACTTCTTGAGTGTCTGACAACCATTAGTGTGAATGCTGACTAAACTGTAAATAGCTTCAGGGGGAAGCTTTAACGAAAAAGCTTGAAAGAAATGGCTTTGCCTCAAATATACAATTAATCAGGAGATCCAACAATCATTGCTTATGGGAAAAGTCTTTGTTGTTTTAGGATTTTTCAATACAACTTCAGTTGTGGGGTATTAAGAGCATATAAACCATCTCTTCCACAACTTCTGTTAGACAAAGCTGCAAATACTTTTATCGTTCAGCTGATGTACAGACTTTATATAAAGGGTTCATCTCATCCACCACTAAAAATTGCTCTCAGCTTGGAACAGAAAAAACTCAAAATTTATGAGTTGGGTTCACAGCCCTGTGAGGCAAGTGAAAAGACCAATTCTCTAGACAGCCGATTAAGACTCTTTTTGTTCTAACACACTGTATGTGAGGAAACGAATACTTTATGTATTTGGATAATGAAAGGATTTTTTAGATATCATATCTGATAGAGAATGGAGGCAATAATTGATGGATATCCACTAGTTTTGGCAACATTTTGTGTACCGTGTGTTGTTTGAAACCATTTATTGGTTTCATTTATATATGACTGCTTTCAAGGCGACAAAAAGGCATGAGCCAATAGCTCATGATTGGTCGTCTGAAATACTAGGGCCTGAACGGTGGGGCCCTGAACCAAAGCTGACCTCTAGATGAACTTCACAACATAACAATATACCTAGTATGTATAATATTGATCACATATCCAATGTATTATCTTATGAATATATATCAATTTATAAAAGCTTTGTTGTAATGCTTATAGAGCTTTGCTGTAATGCTTGCTGTGTAAGGTTGCTGTAACGCTGTCTGTGTAAGGCAGCAGGAAAATTCTAATTGTGTAACAGTAGCCTCATTTGTCAAAAACAGATATGCCTGTTGCAACCAAAAGGCAGATATGCCTACTGCAACCACAGAAGTAAAAGGATGTGTGGTAAAAGGATGTGGAGGCCCGTGGAGGCCCGTGACAGGCTTTTTTTGGGAGACACATAATCAGGATCACCAGATATGTTTGCATTTTTTTTTAACTTCCCTCTCGAGGTCCTGGCCAGACTCGAGATGAAAGTTGACAAGGGGAAAACCACACCAGATGTTTTTCACAGTTTGAGATGTAAAGTTGTTTATTTAACTGTATAAAAGCGGGAAACGTTTGCAGGGAAATTTGGAAGCCTCATCTATACAGTGGATGCACTGTATAGAAATTTCCCAATTGCTGGGAAAGGTTGTCCAAATCCTCGCTGCAACCGGGCTCCCCAGTGACTGTGGATCTGGATGATGGTAACATTTTATCAGGGCAACTGGTGACGTACCTTTCTTAATCACTATCGCTAACTCTATGTAGTAATGATTAGGCGCATTACCTTATTTTATGCTTGCTATAGTAGTTCGCCTATTATTATGCTGCTTCACCCTATCTTGCTTTAATCTATTTTCACTGTATTATTTTTATCATTATTTTATTACTTTAAACATAAGTAAAAGTAAGCTAACTTCTTTAATTTCATGCCTGTGTCCTTTGTGCTAACCCCAGCGATTGGCAAAACATCATCCCAGGCCACTCAGAGAATCTGTGGAATCTCCATCATTTCCATACTCAAAACTCAACTGGACAAGTCCCCAAGGAACCCGAACTAGTTTGAAGTTTAGAAGCAACACAGGTGTCTTCCCACCTAAGTGATTCTCAGATGACTCCTTCCTGAAGCAGACTGGGCGTCCTTGTTAGATTCCTTGTTTTAGGAGAAAAAACAGGACAGAAAAATCCAAAGAACAGGCCACAAAAGCAGTAAAGGAGATTTAAAGCAGGCTTGGTAAGAGAAGGGAATTCATTGTCAGGTGTTCTGGAAGCAGAATGGCAGTAACAAAAGAACCTGGCCTATGTTTATTCTGCAAATAGCTGTGGTGGTTTCCGAAATTACCATCACTTGATTCATCTGTTGTTGCTCTTCAGTGAGAACTTATCCCCTCCTCAAAAGCAGAGACTGCAGAACTCAACAGGATTAGGGCTGAACAACCTCAAGAGCATTCTTCCTAATTATAACCAGAAGTTGGACCTATAGCAGCACTGATAATACAGTGAGGCCTTAGCAGAGCTGACTTTCAAAAGAATGCCAGCTGCTACTCTATGGCAACCACTGAGCACAAGTCATTGATGATCCTTTCATCCAACAAGTCACTTAGTTTGAGGTTGCAGAGTCTGGATCAGTACAAAAGTAGCAGTGAAGGCAAGTGATGTTTTTTCTTAGTCTGTTGTGAAACACATTTTGTGGGCTTTCAAACGCAGAATAAGTATAAAACCACTGGAAGCGGGAACAGAATCATGCCCCAGATAAAAAAAAGATACTTACTTTCAAGATAAACTGCTCTTTCTCCTTTTTGATTTGCTCTTCCATTTCCTCATAGAGATGCTGAATTTCTTCATCATAAGCAGCGACTTTCCTAATAAGCATTACTTCAAGTCACGGCTCACATGAGCTAAGCCCCACATTTCTGTCTTTAACACAAGACTCTAAAGAATGCTCTAGGGTTAAGAAAATAGGATTTTTTTGTGCAGGAAAGGTCACAGAATAATTTTTTTTTTTTTTCTCATGGAAGGAAAGCTTCAACCGCTCAAAGGCTAATAAAGTTACACCTCTGATGTTTCCATATAAAGCAGCTGTTCATTATGCAGTTTTAATTACTACTAAATCTTAGGTTTAAGGAACATAGCTTCTTAGTGACAATACTAAGAATATCAGAGCCTAAGTTTGCCAGTTAAAAGTATTTTCACTGCAACTTCATTTTTTTTTTACTCTGGAACTGCATTGTTCACCATTCAAGAGCATTGAATGAGGTACTTCCATCATGTCTAAGACATTTTAGGGTCCAAACTTCTCTTTTATTACCTATAGCCTTTTTTTATGGCCCACAGTTTCATTTTCAGGGTCTAAACTCTCATTTTTAGGGCAGAAAGCCTCTTTTTCAGATACATTTATAGTGTCAAAAGCTTCATTTCTCCCTTCCCTAGTCTTAGGTTTGGCTTCCAAAGCCTCATTTTAGGCTCTAAAACCTCAGATTTATGCTCCAAAGACTCACTTTTATGGTCTATAGGGTCAGTTTTAGTTTGCAAAGTCTCCTTTTTCCACTCCAATGCCACAATTTTAGTTTCTACACCCTAATATTTATGCTCCAAAGCCCCCTTTTAGAGCCTAAAGCCTCACTTTTAGGTCCCAAATCCTAGTAGTGTACACTTCCTCAGACATGATATGCACATTCCTCAGTAGTTGTTGGAGTTGCTGTGCCAGCAGTTGTGATGGGTTAGCCCTTGGCTGGGGGCCAAACCACACACCCACTCACACAATTCCAACCCCACCCGAGGATAGGGGAGAGAGTTAA